TGCTGTTTGCTGTACCTTATCTTGTTATCTTCCTGGCTCCTGCCAAAGCCATCGTGGTGTTTGATAGCACGTCAGAGCCCTTCGCACAGGATCACACCTCACCTCACGGGGCCATACGGGGTAAGGGGGGCGAGGTTGCTACCCTTTGAGGTGGTGGTTGTCAGGATGGTGATGGGATATACCGAAAACGCAAGACAAGAAACAAAGCAGATGCACCTGTGATGACGAGAAAGAAGGTTGTCAGATCGTACAAAGAGAGGCTTACCCCAAAACAAACTACTTTTTCCAGCAGGCCCGAATCCTCGAAAGAGACTCGTCTAATTTGGGTAAGTCAATGGCGGTGCCACCAAAGGTGATGAAAATGCTGCCACAGCCATTTGCAAAGGTCGCAAAAACAGTAGTGTAGTTGATCTATCTGACCTCCAGTTCGACTATTCTTCGGGAGAACTTTGAAGCCAAACATAGCCAAACCCTTTCTTCGGTATGTAGATCCTAGACCCCTCTTTAGGGGCCCCGAAAAAAGGGTGTCCTGTGATCGACCCTTAGAGCGGAGGTAAAGGTTTGTCCATGAACCCCTTGTACTCGTGCAAACACCAGCGGTGTGAAGGCCAAAGCCGGACAACAGGTCCAGTTTGAGGAGAGGTTGAACAAGGAAATACGACCAACAGAGCTCTTTTGGTTGAACAGGGACATGCGATTTTCAGCACGGAAAGGGTTTTGTTGGTGTGGGTGATTCATGCTGTTTCTGGTTCTTGAAGTACACTTTTTTCAATATCCAACTGCGACAACAGCAACGGCACAAATGTTCTTAAGACAACGGTGACGGAAGGTGACGGAGGAACAAGAAGAAACAAATCTTCTGTGGAACCCAAGCAGCAAGATCTGCAACTACTTCTCCGCTCACCCAGAGGAAGATCCATACTGTACTTTTGCTTGGACTCTACAGATACCAACCTAGCATCTTTGCGACCAACAACGTGCATGTGCAGGGTTCTTGGAGGATTTGATGCCTTTGTGTGCAGCCTGCTTCCCTGAAGAAGTTTGGGCAAGAATTCCCTGTAAGGAAGTAAGGAAGCTACCAGCAACTGGCCAGCTGCAGCAGATATTCTCCTCCGACTGCACCTGTGAAGTCTAATGACCAATGCTGTACAAAGCGGCACCGTGCGGCACCTGAAAACCACACGTGGTGAAAAACTGCGTTGCTTCATGCAGGCCATTTCAGCCGCGTATGCACTCGGATGACTTGACTTAGGAGTGCTGCCAATGATCCCACTTATGTTGCTGTTATTCTTCTACTTGTTCTTGTCCTTGCTGGTCGGTCGGTCGGTTGTTAAATGCTTTTTGACCGCTCCCAGGGACAGTCGAAACGGTCAAAGCGTTGGCGGTTCGTGGTGGCTGCTTGGGGGTTCATGGGTCATGGGACAACAGGCCGCTTCGGCGGCCATAACAGTGAGAGGGGGTTCTGGGTTGGCCAAGTGGTGGGCAATTTGCTTTCGCAACGTGGGTTTGTGGATTTCTGTGGTTGATCCCTTTTTCTTCCAGGAACGAGAAGAAGAGATGATTTTTCCATATGTTTTCCGCCGGGCCATGCTTACAAAAACAGGCAGTAGTTGGGTGGTTTGCCTGGATCGTTACTGTTGCTTCAAGCACTGTCGCCATCCGAGATTCGATTGCAAAGACAATCGATTGGTCTGGGGACATTTATCAGAAACCTCTTCTGCCTCTGGAACAGACCAAGAGTATCTGACAATGTAGTAGCTCAGCAAGGCTCTCAAGACCCAATCCAAACACATCAAAGGAGTCCTCAGACTTCCTCAGGAGAATTCATTGCCATGCCATGAAGCCAAACTTTGCACCTTCACGTAACATGATGATCCAGGCCGAAGAGGTCTTCTGTTCCAGGCCGTTGCCAAGAGGAAGCCCTCAGGACCAACAGGAAGGCCTGAGAAGCCGCAGAGTCGAACTGAGTCGCACGCAGCAGCTTGAGCTGAGCACAGCACTGGGGATCTCGGGATCATTAAAATCAAGTTGCATGTGTAGATTGGCATCATGTCCTGGATCAGGGGAGAGAGAGAGAGAGAGAGTGAGTGAGCGAGCGAGTCAGTGAGTGAGTGGGGGAGTTTTTATTTTTTTTTCACGCTTTTCGCAGGTGTCCTGCAAGTGCATCCATTTGCATAGAGCTAACTCTCCGATTGGTTTGAGGTGGTTTTTTCAATGCCAAAGGTGGGTGCCCTGCGCCGGTGATGGGAGACCTGGCACCAGCGATCCCTTTTGGGGGTCCAGAAAACACCAGACCTCCACAAGACAGACAGTGGCATGTCTCGCAGATGCAAGTCCTAGCGCGAGTCAGTGCGAGAGTCCGAAAAACGCCACAGCTCGGTGAAGCAGTGGCATGTCTCGCAGATGCATATCAGATCATATATATATATATACTTAGGTCCCATTGTTGAATCTGCACCCCTCTTTAAAAAGAAGGATCACTAAGAGTGTTGTGTGTTTTCTTTTCTTTCAGAGGCTGTCACCAATTGGACCTCTTGGACCGGGGTCCTTGGTGACTCGTTTCATCTCGTTTCCATCTCATACCCATGGGCGAGAAGCAAACAAGTGTGGAGCCATCATTGGTGGTTTGCCTGGGAATGTATGTATTGTCATGTTCATGTTCATTCAGCAGGACCCAACATGCCTGTTCTCACTGGTGCTTCGTTTCGGGAAGTTTCGGGTGGCTGGATTTTTCTGGAATCGAGTCGCAGGTGGTGGGAGCTTCAGGGCTCGACGGCACCGCATGTGGTCCACGTGGTTCTTCCGGCCAAGCATGTTTCGCATCGCGGATGCTTGTACCACTGCCTCGCATCACAAGCCAGATGTATATGTTATATAAATAAACATGTTGTAATACCATCCTGCACCTTTTTGACCTGTTCGAGCTGAATATGTCTGAGTGAAAAGGGGATCGGATACGTAGTGCCGACCGGAGACACTCCGGGCTGTCGGTGCTGACGCTGTCGGACGCTCCGCTGCTGCGACGCCGGTGCGGCCGAAGGGCGGAAGATGGAGGACGGAGGTGGCAGAAGATGAGCAAGCGTCCAAAGCACGGCTTCGTTGAGCAGAAGATGTGAACTGCCTTGAATCTGAAGAATTGGTCAAATCCCACAAAAGCCATGGACCCTCCAAAGAGCACTTCCTTCCAAACTGAAGTCTAAAGCTGTTCAAAACTACAGGGAGCGATGGGCCTTTGCAAGTCTATGTGATGGCATGAGACTGAAAAAGGCTGAACAAGGTGTTTGACAGCAGTACATAGAGAAACAACACCTTGTTGATCACCGTCACCAAAGGTTCCAAACACCAACAAACGCGGTTGGGTAGACTTGGATAACACTGGCGTGACTAGAAAATATGGCTCGTCACTTCACATGCTTAGTTTGCTCAGTTGAGCGGCCTCTTTTCACTCCCTTTCGTCCCTTCTGGCAAGGAAGGACCGGTCCCCGCTTGATGCGCGGAACGGCGGGGCAACGGCGTGACGAGATGTTTTCCGCCAGACGTGTGTCCCAACAAGTGGTGACTCCGTGACTCAGCCTGGTGTGCTGCCTGTGACTCACGAGCCATGCAGATATTTATTATACAGGAAGCCTAGCTGCGAGAGGAGATTATGCTCTTTGCAATCGTATTGTCAACAAGGATTAGTGAATAGACTATGAGAATCTATGAGAATCGACTTTGTTGATTTGCTTTGGTATTATTTCTGACGTTTTCTTGGATCAATCTCATGGAAAACATCGCGAATCAATGTGGAATCCCTTCAGCCGAATTTCTGGTGTAACAGAAGATGCCATGTTTGTGATACTCAGTTTTTTTGTTTTTTGTTTCAGGGGACTGGAATATTTATGGCTTTAATTTCAGGGTCAATGCCGGTAAATATGTCATACATGGGTTGAAGGCCATCGCTAGTAGGTTGGAGGCCATCACTAGTAGGTTGGAGGCCATTGCTACTAGGTTGGAGGACATTGCTATTAGGTTGGATGGAGTGTGTGGGTATACTGACTGCCTTTCATGTTTCTGCGGAGTTGAAGGTAACCAGCACATCAGGTGATTGATTGAAACAGTTGGCAGTTGTCGGGGTTGACCAGTCAGTAGCGTGTTTTGTGTTTCTTCCAAGACATTGACCTTGGTGTCTTCCAACATCGTCCAACAAAAATGAATATTTAGACGTTTCATTGACATGGACTTGGAAAACGACAACTTTGTAGAGGGAAATCGTCAGGTTGTTTTCCAATATATATAATTATGCATTTTTGTTATATATAGTTGTTTTATGTTTATTTGTTCATGTCTTTTCGGCACTGACTTCAAATCACCGGTCATCCTGTTCAACTCCAACATGCCGACCCAGCCGGGCTTGGCCGCGCGGCCCGTGAGATCTCGGCCTGCGAAATGCTGGAAAAAGTTGTTGTTTGATGTTGTTGGTTGAGGGGGCCCTACGGTTTCTCTGGGAGTACACACATGGATATGTATTAAGATAGGGGGACCCCAGTGGAGACCCCATGAGACCCCCTGCATTGGATGGTCCAACAAGGTTCGGTTTCCGAACCGAGACCAGGGGTCGTTGGGTCTCGGTCTCTTTATTTGGATAGCCTTTGAGAAGGCGGTTGGGTGTGTTCCCACTACTCAAAACATGTCTAAAAGCTACCTGTTTGCTCCTCAAATGTTCATGAGACCGGCGTCCAAGGGTGTTTTGGCGTTCCTTTTCAGATTCGGATTGATGGTTCGTTACAGGGTATTGGAGAAGTTACATCAGAACAAAAACTCAGCATGTGGCCCATGTTTTTTTTTCTTGAACCTTGAAATTATCCCAAGAATGCAAGGCCAGTCGGCTTGTGATGCATATACTTGCAAACCCACTGACCTCGAAGAACTCCCTTCTTTGACTCTTGGACGCTGCGCTGCGAAAAGCCCCTTCGACTGTGAAATCCAGCGTACGTGTGGACGCTTTGCTTCTTCCTCAGGTACTCCCGGAGAGAAGTGTGACTGCAAGATCGAATGCCCCTACGGTTCGGGCCACAACTCGGGCTCCACCGGCAACAAGGACTTGGTGGAACGCGTTGGGAGGGCGGAGGGCGGAGGACGGAAGGAAAAGGAAAAGGGTGAGGGGAACTGCTGTCTTGAGTGGAGGGAAGGAGTATGAAGGACTTGTTGTCCTTCTTTTTGGACAGGCACGTAGAGGAAAAGGGTCTTGTCCCAGAGTCCGCAGGAAAGGATCTCGGGTCTTAGATAGTTTTTGGGGCTTCCCAGAGTCCGCAGGAAAGGATCTCGGGTCTTAGATAGTTTTTGGGACGTCCAGAAAGCCCATGGAGTGGAACAAGATGCAACAAGGTCGTCCAAAAAGGGTTGGAATGTTCTTTTGCTACTCAGAAATTTCCATTATGCTTTGTCTATATATTTTTTGCCTTATATCAAGTCAGATATGACACAGACCAAAGAAGGTTGATTGAAAGGAAGTGAGATGAAAACGGACCTCAGCTGCGCTTGGCACTTGGTGTGTATTGGGCAAGGCTTGGTCCGGTTGATGTGAGTGATGCACTTGGTCCGGTTGAGAGTCTGTTTCGAAAATGTTCAAGCACGCCTCTATTTCTGAGCGAGCTCTTTTTAGCGGTTGCTACGTTGGCAAAAGCGTCAGGCAATTTTATCACAAAGACGCCTCCAGGGTTTGGTGTTTTGGGAGTTAGACTCCCTGGATTACATTTGTCTTGTACAAACAAGTGGTTTTTGAATTCCACCACTATTTCAGGTTTCTGTTATTGAGGATCTGTCAACCAGAGGACCCCGTCGAGCTCGGAGTCGAGGTCGTTCGATCTTCCAGGGCAAGAGAGAACGTCGCTCCCTTGCTGTTGCCCAATGAAATTGGTTTGTATCGTTTCGTAGTGATTGGTCAATTTGGGATCTTGGCTAAATCAAGATGACAGTGGAGTTGACTCAACTGATGATTAGAAAGTGAGCAGTGACAGCAGCAGGTCTACAAAGAGAGAGAGAGAGATAGAGAGAGAGAGGAATGATAGAGATAGCTACTCAGTTCAAACACGAAATCACTATTTGAATATATATTTGATATTACAATTTATAAGACTATGTAAAACTTCTGAACTATTCTGTTTGAAGTTTGGGGACCAGTCCAGTACAAAAGACGAGATGAGGATGCGTAAATATACAACACATATAGATGTATAATATGAGTCCTGTCATTGTTTTTGGATGTTTTTGCAAAACAACATCTAGATGTCAGGGCAGTGGCCATCTACCTGAATCGTCCGCATTTATCGCCAATCACGAGACAACTCGTACGCCTCCCTCCAGGAGTGCACTGCGGTCCCCGCGACGCTCACAGAGGCAACCTGTAGTGAGATCAAAAGCAAGTGGCCCTGGCATGTCTTGTCTTGTTGATCGCGTAGCCCTGGAGGTGATGGTGTTTGGACGCGAAGGCCTGGCAGGCTGCTAGCAGGCCACCAATTCGTATTCAGGCATAGCTTCAGGGAGCAGTATTTCGGACAGCACCTTTCTACATCCGTTAACATGAATTCTGTTCAGCAAATAAGTGTTCAAAGGATTTGCAAGATGATCATCTAATCAATGCTTTGAGATCAGCTTCAAGAGCTGACCTCACAGTCAAGGGGTCAAGGCAACTTCGAAGCTCAGTGGCAGTGTCATGGCCACCAACCCAGCCAAGAAAGAAGCACAGGAGCCCACATCATGGTAATAATCATCATCAGCAGCAGCGGCAGCAGCATGATCTTTCTGCACGACCACACAAAAAGAGAGTCGTCACGACCGGCACGACCGGAACTTCTCACGTCCGCAGACTGAAAGGCTGAGTCGTCTTCCTTTTTAAGTGACCACGGCATGAGACTGAAAGACCGGGCCATTGCATGAGACTGAAAGACCACTTGCTATACACAGATCGATGAACGTTTTGCCACGGATCTCCTTATCGGCTTCTTCCCGAAAGCTCCTCGAAACGCCCGCAACAAGGGCAGCCTCTTTTCAGCTGAAACACCTTCAAAACAGATTCAGCTCATCACTCTGCCAAGATGAAACCAAGAAAACATCTGGTGGATTGGTGAGTTTGAATGACCTCAAATTTATTTTTACTGCATCACCTCACCACTCTGCTGATCCATCCACCCCGACCCTTTGCTCGCGCAGTCAGCCGACAGCCAGGCACAGCTGCCTCAGCAGCGCGGAGTCGAAGATGCCCTGCTGCTATCGCCAGGCGTGTCGTCGTCAGGAGGGAGGATTGGTGCCGTCGTTCTCGGACGCTTCGATTTGGGGTGCCCGGATGAGTGGACGGGCGAGTGGATAAGGGGCACCCATCGAAGAGGAGAAGAGTGGTATGAGTCAGTGGATGGGTGAAGAGGGGCACGTTCGCTTTCTCTCGCCAAATGTCTTGGCGAGGACGGCTGTGGCTTAACACTCGTGTTTGGTGAGCGAGCGGCGATCGTGTCGGCCGTGGACGTGGTGCTTTGCATGACATGGGTCAAACATCGAAATCGGTTTCGTCCATAAAATTGGGTTTGTCTATCAAGTTGGCCCAACTTGATAGACAAACCCATTTTTCTACCTTTGCACCTGCATTCTGCGTGCAACCCTCTTGGCACACAGCAATGTGCTTGTGAGAGGTCCTGACAAAGCCATGCCCGCCATACTCCGGTGTCATGGTAAACTGGACGTCGGAGTCTGCATTGTTTTTCGAAGTATGCCAGAAAGTGAGACCTTACATTGCTACGGTCACGCATCTAGAGCAGAATAGAACCTTGTTGGATAGAAGGATTGCGTTGCACGTATGCGTATATTTGTTTGTACATTGTCAGCTGGCCCCAAAAAATACATCCCAGTAAGTCCAGGTGGCTATAATATCAAATAGGAATCAACTCCACTACAAACCTGTTCCTACTTACACTGATCTATACAATAATATCTGTATATGGCATGCTGCATGCACATGTAAAAGGGACCTGGGGAATTTCGAGGAATGTCGTGTGTCTTTGCTGTTCAGAGCTGCCGTTCTGTTCGTCTTGCGCGCTCGGGTCTCCAGTCCCGGAGAGTGAACTGGAATGTAGGCACTGTCCCTCTTTGGAGGGGAATGGGCCATTTGGCTTCCTACACCGGAAAAAATCACAGGAACTGGCGTTCTTGCGTTCATCCAAGACAGGAGGACTGGCTATACTCCCCTGCCACGAAGTCGGATGAGCAGCATTCGATGTGTTTTTTACCTCATTCAGTCACGGCGAGCAGGTTTCAGCGAGTCAGGTAAGAATCTGGAGCATATTTTAACCCACCAAGAGGTTTTACCGTCGTTAAGTCGGTGTGTTCAGCCGAGCTCCAACCAGGCCGGCTTCGGAAATCCTCTTCACGTTTGTGCGAAACAGGGTTCGGAGGCGAGGAATGCTTCGCACCTTTTTGGCGGGGTATTGGGAAGAAAAGCCTGAGGATCAAGAACATGAAGAGTTTGAAGAACTTCTTGATGTTTGGAGGTCTCAATGGTGGAGCTTTCTGGACTCAACACGCTGTGGATGCAATGCAACCTCTAGAGCTCGCGGGTAGCTGGTGAACAATTGCTTGACATGCTCCATGTTGCGAATGAATATGCCACCATGGTTGGCAGCAAGTGATTGCAAAGATGAAATGTCCAGGATATTCTGAATCCAGATTGTTGCTGGGAAGCACTCTTACAAGACCTTAGAAAATATATATACATATTATAGTATGTCCATGTCAGTTTTTTCCAGACCTTACGGAATGCACGGAATATCAGTGTTTGGGGGAACTGAATGTGTTGTTTCATAAAGGAGTGATCTTAAGACACCCTGTTTTTGATTGCACCAATGGTCCCTTTCACCCATGGACCCTTCCAATCAGTGTAACACATGTGTCGGTCGCAGTGAGAACCTGTTCCGTTTTGTTTTTCCGACGCTGAGTGCCACATCCATGTGGTCCAGATGTTCGACACAGGTTTCCAGGTCAATGTTCTCTTGGATGATATGACATGTCGAAGGCGAAGGAGTACTTTTCTTGCATCACCTGTGGTGCTTGAGTCGCAAAATCCAGAGTGATACATATGTGATGCCAGGACCATCGATGCGTGTGAGTTGGAAAAGATCTCATGAATTCCCATGGTAAATCCGTTCAGTATCCCAGCATCACGCCACCACTACCGTGCGCGCCCTCGGCAGGACATCCAAGACGCACCTGACAAGTGTGCTCGCCTGGAGGTCGCCATCTTCCCGGATCTGCCCAACTGCGTGCGCGGGGACCCAGGCCTTGCAAAAAGAAAGACGTACCTACAAACCAGACAATAGTATCAATAGCTCCAAACCAGAATGATTTTTTGGGCCATAATTGGTGTTTAAACTTAGGCGACTGGGGTCAGTCACATCGATACACCAAGCGTCCTAAGACCCTGCAGAAGTCCTGGCGCAACACCCGGAGGTGCTGGTTCCCCATGGGAGCCATACAATCAAGGAGCCAAAGTAGTTATTCAAAGAAAAAACAAAGCAACAAATGCAACAGGTCAACAGGTAAAGGAAACCAAAAAGCAAAACGAAAGGTTAATTCTGCCACTGTTGTCGCTGTCTTTACTTTTTCGCATGTTGTTCACCGTGTTTTGTTTTTTTCCACTTGTTTTTGCTTCCTAGGAGGGTACAACGAATATTGCAGAGTGGTAAAAGTTCTCACGAGTGCAGAAATGGTACCAGAATAATAAAGGACAAAATACAACAACAAAGCAAATTGCTTTGATTTTTGCATGCTTTGACCTGTTTGACATCCCAAAGAGACCTTCCGAGGCCCATTTGCTTAAAGAGCTTCCACTTGCAAGGGAGGCGCGCGCGGAGCTGCCGCTCGGGCGCGGAGCTGCGTCGCCTGATCGCCCTGGAAAGTAACGGGCGGCGTTTTGGCATGAAAAATCTCAAGGGTGGAGATGAAGTCAGGCACCCCATGTGTGTTTATAGGTTTTTTTTCTAGTGCACCCCATCCGCAGGAGCTACAAGACGGAAAATTGCGAACGTTGCCTGGCCGATACACCTTGTGATTGCAAGGCGGGGCCCAACAGCCGATCCGGGATATCAAGGGTTTTTGTGGTCAGTCTCCATGGACTGACCATTGGTCAGTGGCAGTCATTACATATCCGGGTGATGGTTTCAGGTATTGCTATTTATATATATATATATATGTTTGTGTATGATGTGCGTTTTATTCATTGATGTTTATTGTAACCTTTACTTGGGATCATTGATCCCACTAACTCATATGTTGTAAGTGAGTTGAAACCACCAAGCAGATGATGATTCACCATGGACCATGCCTTCGGCACGTCGTGTGTGGCACATCTTTTTTTTTCCACCGAAAAACGACAGAAAAAGTCTCCGACTCTGTGTCCATCCTTTCAGGACCGGGCGAAAGACCTCGCGTCCTCACGTGTTCCATGGTCTCGTCCGGCCCAAACGAAGGCGACCTGAAAGGCCACGACCCGGTCCCAGCAGGAAGGCAACCAAGCATAACCAATATTAACCAATCCACCAAGTGGTGGAGTCAGGTGATTGAACAACTATCACTCATGTTGACTGTTGATGAATCAAACCCATGTGGACTGTAAAACCTCTTCAAATTAGTTGGGTTTTATTCATCAACCATCTCTCCTAGACACAATCCCCTGCCCAGCTTCCCGATTCGACGCCAGTTCCGACCCATCGCCAGATGACCTGTCGGGACAATTACGAGTACGTGGGTGGAGAGCAGGGATGCCCAGTAAGAAATCGCGTGGCCGCGTGGCTGGGCCATTTGACGACAACTGATGGTCGCAACATGTTGGCCAACATGTTGGGTCAACAGGGGGTTGCCCCGAACCTTCCCGACGACCAACATGGTTTTCGGGGGGAGGGGACACGAAGTGCAATTGCAGTGCGGTTCTCGTGGAAAGAAACTGTCTCGAGAGCGGTCCACCGGACAAGTGCAAGCGGAAGCTCAGTCAAGTGCTATGGTTTGAGCCAAATACGTCAGTCATAAATGTACGTAAGAGGTGAGACCAGACAGAGGTTAGTACGCAAAAGCAAGCACAGGGGGTGGGGGGGGCTGGGGACAGTTTCGTTCGTGTTACTGCTTGCATTACTCGGCACTCGCGACACAATGGGGAAGCTCGGTCGATGTGAAGCTGCAACGAGAGCACGTTGATGGCCTCGCAGCATTGGCTCAGCCAGCATCCAGGCTTGGACTCAATGCTGCAGGCTGTCAAAGAACACAAAAAGGCTGTGCAAGACACTTGTCCGTCAGCTCAAATGTACAGTGATGGTTCGAATGGGCAAAGGACTAATGTTTGTTGTGAAAAAGAAGTGGCAAGATCCCTGCAGGCGCAGATGACTGGAAAGGTCGAAGGACAGGAGAGACTGGACAACAGACCTGGTCTTACTTGAGTGTTTTGAAAATCAGCTCAAGTCATCGTGTTTGACTTCATGAACTCCAACACGATAAGTTGAGCGACCCGAAACGCAAAAATACCTGTAAGACACATGTTTTTCTAGCAATGCTGTCGGGGCAAGCCCCCCGTTTACCCAACATGTTGCTACCATGGGTATTCAAGAGAAAAACATTCAGCGGAAGTCTTCAGCATCATCAAAACCTCTGGCAGTGTTCCGTCCACTTTGCCGAGTCACCTGCAATCGCTCCTAAGACATGACCTGAACCACTGCAGAAAATGATGATAAACTTTGAAGTTGTTTTTCATGCAGTTGAGCCCGGCAGCCCAGTTGTGGACCCTCCAAACACACCCTGGTCACATTCCCAACAGTACTTCTTAGGAAGTTCTCGTGATTGGTCTTGATATAACTAAGTAGTACTAAGTACATCGCCTATTACCACGGCAAACACTTTTATGCATATAATCATATAATATATGCATATGTCCCAGGAGGGAGGGAAGAGCTTTCGTAAAGTAACACCCCGTGGTGGTGTCCTATTTTCTTCGATGGCCCCCCCTTTGGGCGCCGGCTTCGCGTTTGCTCTGAGGAAAGAAGGTTCCAGGGGCTGCACGGTCTCCAACACCTACCTGCCGCCACCCCCGGTGCGCCGCATCAGGGCAGTGGGGCAGAGCTGCCCTCAAGGTAGCTATGGGAGTGGAGCAGGACTCCGATATCTGTGGAGCCCTTAAACCCCTATTTTCCAGCGTTTAAAAGGTGAGTGTTTCCTTCCAAAACGATGGGGTACGTTTCCATCTCATGACTGTCAAGCCTCTAGGCATTGAATCACAAAAGGTAACCTAGACCTAGGCGATCTGATGTCTCCAAGCCTTTTCTTCAAGGATTGTGTTCAGGGGAAGCTCCTTCGGTAAGACCAAATTGTGTAGTAGAGGACCCCCCCATTCAACTCCATCCGCCCGTGCGAATGCATGTTTATCATGGACTGGAGAAGGAGATGTTCTTGAGCATTTCTGCGTGCAATACTTGGCCAGCAGGAAATTGAAGTCCCCCACAGAGCTTTGGATAGTGGGGTGGGCTGACTTCCAATCTCAGAATGAGCAGTTGCATGGCAAAGCAAGAAAGAGACATGCTTCAACCATTTACGTTGACAGTCTTTCAAACATGCCCCATCATGGAATGCCCATTGTGTAAAGAGAAGACGTATTCAAACGATGGAGACCTTGCCACTGCAAGGCCAATAAAGGTACACTTTCATGTGTTTGACAGTTCTAAAGAGTGTGGCACACCAGTTGATGACGACAGCACGTGGTGACCATTGGTCATGCATACCATAAGACTTGAACTTCTGACTTTTCCAAACTTGTTTTTGACATGCTCGGCTGCTTGCTCCTCCTGCAGTACAGGGGGGCAAGAACTCCAGCTTGGCTTCTGGCAAAGGGTATGTGTTCCTTGCTGACTGCTTTGAGCTAGTGCGCTGTGACAGTCTTCCCCATCTTCCAAGTTGGATCACACTGGGCGCATGTGACAGTCTCACCGATCTCATGAGCGGCTCGCACTTGGCGGCTCGCTGCGTCAAAGTGTAAATGTAACCTCGCTTCAGATGGCAGTCTGTTTTGCGTAAATGAAAGAACTCCAGCTGTTCAGCCAGAAACTCGGGGCCCAACTGATGAAGCTCGCTTCAAGCGAAGCCAGGTTTGTCACAAGAAGGACGTGCCCAAGTGCACAGAACCGGACAAGGCGTTGGTGGTCGCTGGGACGGTCGCAGGAGTTCCCCCCAAAAAAGGACGGGACTGGGGTCGCCAGGATCGGTCTACCCAGGATCGTGCCTTTGTGGAGCAGTGGGAACCCCTCGAGACGTTTGACGAGACGTTTGATTGAACCAAGCCGCTCGGTCCGAACGCCTCGGCGGTGCCAATTCGTCTCGGTCTGGTTGGGCAACGACGGCACCGAGCACCGGGTGTCTAAAACCCGCACTGAAAACAGGCATGAGTATCCGACTTGCTACGCTTGTTATAGGGTTTACTGAGTGGTGGTGTCAGATCTCCTGATGTTCAACCTTTACTCGGGATGATTGAACCCACTGACAAATACTCTTCAAGTGAGTTGAAACCGTTCAGCCTGGTTTGCTTGAAAGTTTGGGTTTCATGCATCTCAGATGTGTCTTTTTGGCTCAGGTCCGACCCGATGATGACCGGCGATGCCACTGACCCCAGATCCCCTTCGGTCACTGAGACAAAAAGCGCCTCAAACGTTCGACTTGAAAGATCACCACATGGACAAGTTGATTAAATTTCTATAAAGCAATCACGACCGTTCAAGTAGACCCTTCAATCAAATCCCATACAACCCAACATCATCCTACACCATTGGCGTTGCATGTCTAAAAGAACAGTTTGTCCCCTTCTAGATGATTTCAAAAGTCTCCACCATCGGACCACGCGCCGTGCTCCACTCGCGCGTTTTCCACCGGTGACCGTGTGGACCGGTGAGTTCAGGACTCCCTGCAGAAAGTGCGCCTCAGCAACTGCGGGAGCTGTATTGCTGGCTCCACCGACTGCAGGTGCCGTGCACTGTCGCTTTTCGCGCTGGCGTCGTGTCGTGCACCGTCGCTGGGCTGGTGCACCGCCGATGGTCGACAGTGATTCCATGTGGTTGTTCTTTTTTCAAGTGGTTTCCCGCTTCGCGAGTCGCTTCGTGTGGATGCGGAGTAGGATTCTAGGGGGGTGAATAGACTTACAGTAGATGTGATGTACATTGACTAAATGAATTTAACAACGATTTGCAGAGGGATCATTATGTATCAACGTGATGAATGAACTCATAAATACAATGCATATTCACACCCTCAGGATCCAGACCTCGCTGGTGGGGATATCTTGTCACTCATGCCCTTGGTGACTGTGGCTTTTTCTCCATGGATCCCTGCTGCCTCCTGTGGGGTTTTAAGGTAATCATGATGATTCCCATCCAGCACAGCTGCACATCGTCCTCGCCGTCGCCCTTTCTTTCTCGCGTCGGGGACCGTCTTCGCAGACGCGCTCGACGCGCTCTCTCTACGGGAGGTGTACGGCCACGTGTTTGCCGGAGCACATTCTGATGCCTGGATCGGAGGTCAAAGAGGGCCTCAAGAGGTCAGACCTGTCGTGGACGACGGACGGACGTCATGGGGACGTGGTCGGGGACGTTGTTTTTATGTCGTTATGAAAAGACCCAAGGAGTGACCAGTGGGAACTTTGTTGGCCAGTATCATGTTTGCCTCTCAAATCTTGGGGGAACGGTAAAAGCATGATATGCGGTACGTGGGTCTATTGGATTTAGTGGCTCGGTCCAACTGGAACCTCAGAATAGTGTGAACACATCCATCCAGCCTTTAACGACTATGCAGCCTTTCAACAAACCGCTTGTCACAACTCTTCGACTCATCTCGACTCGCTTGATGTCATGTGTCATTGGCGGGATGACCAAAGGTGCGGCCGTTTCAGCACATTGACCACTATGAACCAGCATCAACCATATGATCATCAGCTGCATCAGGAGGTCACGCATCAGCATGGTTGGGTCACACATCTCCGCCCACGGTCATGCTTGGGTCCCTCATGAATTCCGCCGGAGTCGGCGGAGTTGCCAGGTGCCTGGCTGTGGATGCCACCTCGGGTGCGATGCCTTGTGGGGTTGCCTGGGGCAATGTCGGTCGGTCAACGGAGGATTTGTGCGAGGCGACCAGGTCTTGACCCGCATCCATGTTAATCATTATAGAATAGACATATTATAGAGAGAATTAGTCAGCATTATAGAGATTATAGATCATGTTCCAGTGGAGCACTCAGTTGTGGAGTCTTCATGTCTTGCTGATTGCTGTTTCAAAGGTTTCAGACATGTCCTGCCGACTCTTGGGCTCAACATGTGCAGTTCCGCATACAAACGGCCTGGTTCTTACTTCATGGGTACAGCTTCCCGGTTTGGTTGGATGGCGTGAATCCCCCAAAGTTGCATTTGATTAATCCTTTTGAATGTACTGCACTCGGTTTGGATACCACCCCAAAGAAAGCCACACGATGCCCCACGTCTCCCATGGCTCTTCAGCCTCCCCATCCTCTTTTCGGAATCAACCGTTGTCGACCGCCTCCAGGTGAAGAGATCACAAGTGGCAAGAACTGCGCACGGAACGCCCAGCACAGAACGACCCTGGCACCGATCCGCTTCGGATGCCGGCGCAGCAGATTCGAGGTCGCAGGTCACAATTTCTATTCTTGAAGAATGAGCAGGTAAGTAAGAATAGAGTTGTCACCAATTGTATTTCTTTTCAAGAACCACCAATTCTATTTCGAGGTCGCAGGTCAGAGGTCGTAGGTCGTGGTTCTTGAAAAAGACCCATGGATCAAAGGGGGTTCAGTGCAGGTCGCTCGCCTCCGTTCTTCGCAGAAGGCTACTGTATTCAGGAAAAGAGTCGTTCAGTTTGTCCAATGGTCGGGGGCAATCTGTTTTTGATCCAAAAAATGAGGGGTTCACTTCGTCCATTCGTGGATTTTCTGGAGGCCAAAAAGTTGTACAATGGAAAGCGATGCTGCTGGGAGAGAGGGATGATGGGCTACGGTGGGGGGCGCCTGAGTTCCAGAGATCAGAGTGGACTGTCTGACAGGGTAGGGAAATTCATGGCAGACAGCAGCAAAACGCATCCTCTATCCTTTTGTCGGTGATGTTTTGTTAAATCTAAATTCGAGGCGGACGGCAGAAGAAGCTTAAGATTGCTTGTTCCAGGGAAAATGATGGATTCGGTTTGCACCATCAAAGAGTCACCTCAGAAAACTTGAGGCTCTGATTCGCAGTTAGTGAGATAGTTGCACTTGAAGTCTAGCGATGGAGATGTTGCTGCCACTATGAGTATGAAATATGGTCAACATTGGGGTGGTTGCAAGGGTCGATGTAAAGATTCCACATGGGGTGCATGAAAAGGATTCCACATTGGGCTAGTCAACCATCAACGAAACCGGTCGCTGTTTGGTCAGAGTCATCCCAGATGTCTGGTCCACCACCGAGCCCTTTTTGGCGAACGGGATCCATGAAAGAGGACCAACAGTCCCACAAAACATATATAGGTTTTATGTCTGGTATGTCTGGTGTTGTTAGGCTCGTAACGCTGGATTTCAATGCTTTTTCGCCGGGATCTGTTCGGGTCCCGTTCGGGAGCCGAACAAGCGTTGTGTGGAACGGACCAGCCGCCTGCGCCATTGAATTCCGCAGGAAATTGCTACACTCAGGGTAGCTCAAAGATGTCCAAATGGTGCGCCCAGCGAATACACGGTCGCGGTTGAAAGAGTTGGACGGGATACAGCAGAGGGGTTGGATTTTGCCCGAGAGATGTGGAAAAAGGATGAAAAAGAGTATTCCCCATCCCAAGCAGTGCAAAAGTCTTCTGGAGTCCATAGTGGCCCTCTCGATGTATTCTTCCCAAGGAGGAGGTAGGGAATCCTTTCCTTTTGTAGTAGCTCTCCCAATTGGACACCCAAGAATCATTTATCCAAACAATAAGATACTAGGAACAAGTGCCTCGCTTCTAGTAACAAGTGCCTTACTAGTAGTAACAAGAAGCTATTATATAGAAGGAGGACACTGCATCCTTTTGCATGGCCTTCCAATCCGGCCTGTCCACGTCACAGCTTTGGGTTCAATGCTAGCATCAGGCCCCAAGAAACTCCGACTCACCAACATGGAAGACCGGACCCTAAACTCCGACTCACCTCCCTTTGTAAAGGATTGGTGTCTTCCTTGGGAAGGTCATTTTCGAGTCATTTTCCACTTCCACGGAACGTGAATCGGCACCCCAAGTGGCCAGTCGCTAGCGACTCACCTCGCCAGGGGCGACACGGACAAGCCCAAGTGTGCACCGCTACAAGTGGGGCGCTATGAGGACCGAGACGGAGCTCGGTTTGTCCTCCGAGAAGACAAATGTGATGTTTTTGGGAATGGTTTGTCATTCCTGTGGGAAGGATCACTTCAACTGACCGATGATATGTATGTATGTATATATTATATTATACATATATATATATATATACAACTCAAAATCCCTGCGGCATTTTTTGTGAGTACATGAATATTTATATATATAGATGCTGTATATGAATATTATGAATAATACACATATATATGTTTCAGGTTGTTTGAATCATGTTGAAACCATCAGCCAGAAGATAGTTGAACAGAGCACGTGGACAGATGACAGATGGCCTTCAAGGATGGATGGCCAACACATGGACAGCTGATTGCTTTATTCACGTCTTGTGGCAACGGGTAGATTCACAACTGGTTGCATTGAGCCCGCAGCCAGGGCCAGGGCTCCTAAGCACCTTCTTTCGATTGTACGCGGTGGGTTTGGAGGGTGTGACTACCTTTTGAGGGAGTAGTAGTTATTTGGAGGCCCAGGGAAACAATAATTTACAATCAATGTACATAACTTCTCAACTATCGTTGGCTTTTTTCAGGGAGAGTCTTAGGAACACATGTTCTACTATATATAGTAGCAATATATTTATATGGGGCTTGCTCCAGTCATATGTAGTAGGGATAGAACGATGAACACATGATGATTTGATCCTGAGACTCGACGCTTTCGCCGGCACCCAACCAATGGACAAACACAGGGAAGGGCATACGAAACACAGCGACTGATCGTCGGAAAGCAAAACTTGTTAGCCACATGACTTCCAACATTGATGTGAATTAGCTCAAAGACTCCTTCTTGTCAAGGCGCTTTAGCTTTCACAAGGCAATCAAGAGCAGTATTTGAACCTGAAATCACCAGCCTCCTGGCTCAAAGTCCAACCATTTTGAAGGACGCCTTGTTTTCCTTTTCTTTAGCACAGAGAGCGGATTTGTGAACCATGCCCATGCCATTCAACGCTTTTGGTATTTCTCTTTGAAGCTTTGACTCCAGCCTGAACTCGTGTTTTCCGTTGACTCGGCCGCTTCAACACCGGAGGGTTTTCGAAAGCGGAAAACTCGTTCGATGTTCAACCCAGCAGTCAAAGGGTGCTGAGCTTCAGCAGTCGATCGACGTGCAAGACCGTGTAGACTCGCAAGAAGAGCACGACGTGCGGAGACGCTAAGCCAAGGTCTCAACCTGTTTTTGTATCGCAGAGTGTTTTTGTGGATTTGGGTGATGTGACGGTCCGAAAGGCAAGTGTCCCATCCACTGGTTCTGTCGTGACACAGAGGTTTAACTCGTATCCATAGAAAGGAAGTTGTATGGTGTTTGCGTGAGCACAGTGTTTAGCATGTTTTGGGGTGTTGTGTTTTGTTGCTGTTTGTTTTCCACCACATTCCCTGCGTGTGCGCAGTGTTGGGGATTTGTTTTTTGTCTTGCAGTTTTGGTAATACTGTATTGTAATAGTAATAGTGGAACCAAGCACAGCTGCAGAACATAAATAATGTGGTTTCAAAGGTACCTTTGCCTCCTTCCCTTCACCGGATTCAAAAAATGTCCTGGCGCAGAGCATCCTGTTAACTGTTGCTTGTAATATACTGAGAAACCTGTTCTAGTTGACCTCATGTAATGTTGGTGCCCGCCTAATTATTCTCCGTGCCGGACCATCCGGACCTGAGCCCTTCGCTCCTCCCGAATCCAGGACTTCCCTACCTGTGTGCCCACATGCAAGAAAAAGTTCCACGAATATCCTGGGCTGGACTATGACAAGAAGGCTGCATGTACACAACGATGGTGCTATGAACAATTGCAATGCTTCAAACGTCTAATTCTTTTCATGGACCTTGGAAACATGGGCGCAAGTAGGGATGCTCCAAATGTCTATTATCCAGGGATGGAAATCGGGTCAATCACCAAACCACGGGCCAATGAAGATTGGTTGTTTGTGCTTAAAGAAAGCTCAAGATAGTTGCGGCGACTTGGACTTCATAGTCCTGACCAGAGCAATGTTCTACCATTGAACATACTCAAGTAGATGGCCGTCCCAAGAATCAATAGAGCTGAAATATTATAGAATGGCTGCTGTTTCTACATCTAATCTTTGCGTGAGGCTGCTTCATCTAATACGTTCCTCAAACCAACAAGTCAGCAAGCTGGTCACGATTCTATGAAGGTGCTGCCTTGGGTTCCTGCGTGGATGGCGGTCTGCGTGGTAGGATGGACCACCAGGTGGACGATGGACATCTTCAAGAAGATGTCCAAGTTGGTTGTTTGGTAAGGACGTCGATGTACCAAGTTGGTTTGGTTCTGTGAGGTCAATGAACCAAAGAGTAGCATAACAGCCTGAAACTTCTCCACCGGAGGCCAGTGTTTTGATCCAACCATCCAGCGACGAGTCGACCGGCTCGAGAGCCTGGAATGCCCCCCAGTCGAGGGCCGGACCACCAGTCGACTCAACACCTTTAAAAGGTGCTTTCGACTGGTTCGACTGGCACCCGGTGGGAACCTGAGTGATCTGGGCAGGTGTGCGATGTTTGCACACCAAAGAGATATCCTGGCCAGGAGGCGCGGGGCGCCACCTCCGCTGCAACAGTCGTGGGCGGTGGTATTTTCCCATGGACCCTAAAAACCCACGGGTTTGGTATTCGGAAAACCGTCGAGTCTCCACGGGTCGAGTCTTCACAGGGTCTGGGTCCGTTTGAAACGGGGTCCATGACCATATACAGTACACAGATCCATTTGTTCTACTGTACCATATGGTGGGTGCGAAAATCATCCCATGGGGAGGGTAAACCTTCCGGGCAAACAAACGACTTTCCATGAAACATGTGTTCTTTCTTTTGAAGTCGACCGTGGTGTGTTTTTACAGAAAAAAATGACCAAACCGGCTCGGCCAAGCAGAGAGAACTCCATTTGTGGGCGCTTGGGAATGAGCGTTTCGGGACCCACGTGGGTGTCCGGTCGGTCACCTTGCTTCGTCCTATGACTCGAAAGCGGTGCCAGCAGGTGATGTTGGATCTTGATTCCAGGTGATGTTGGAACTACAAAGTCAGGTGATGTTGGTGGTATGAATGTTTGACTCGATGGTTCTTCACCACCAAAAAATAGTCCCGAAGATGTGTTTGTGTGTGAGGGTTCTAGACTTTGGACCTGGACGTTTGCAGGTTGTGGCCCAGTTCAAAGCTGCATGTTTGACCAGGATTGCTACCTCAAACCATTTACCATGGATGGCTACCTCAATCCTCACCAAATCATTCTTGTATGTCCATTGCGTGGAACCCATGAATTTCTCCCACTCTCTCACTCTCTCTCTCTCTCTCTCTCTGTCTCTCTCTCTCTCTCTCTAAGCACGCTGTGAAAACCCCACGAACCGGGCACCGTGACCTGCAGCGGCAGAACGCGAACCTCACGGCAGGCCTGTCAGTGCAGCGTGAAATGCGCCGAAGGCTTTCGCCCAGTGGGCGGCCCACCCGAGGGGCCGAGGCCCGATGGAGGGGAGGGGAGGCGAGCCCCATCGGCTCGGTTGGAACACGGTGCCCATCAGTTTGGGGGTGTGTTGTTGGTGCGTAGGAATTGCAAAATGGGAAGATGAATACTTTTGCGATGTTGCTTGGAAGCGGTGGGGAGATAGGCATAGGAGGGTACATTCTTGTTTGACATGTGTTTTGGGACCGGAAGAGTCAGGAAGCAACTGGCGATCAGACAGAAGCAGACGGCACAATGCGCATTTGCAGATGTTGCAATCGTTGTAATACTTGCAAGATTATAGTGTTAATAAACAATATGGTTCAACAATAATGATAATAATAATTATTAATAACAATAATATGTATATATATATATGTGTGTGTTCAATAAAACTATATTAAACTGCACAAACAGAGCATGGATTTTGAGTACTTGGGCACTCAAAATTACACACAATAACATGTGTGATCATGAACATCGCTATTAGGTTGGAGCGCCAACGACCCCAGAGGTCGTGTGACCCCAACGACAAGCACGGCGGCGGCGCAAGCATCAGCGGTGGCTGGGACACCTCGGATCCTGAGTTGGTGGCCATCAGGGCATGGTGGATGCCAACCTGGTGGGGTGGGGAGTGCTGGGGGGGTGGAAGATGGGAAGCGGAATTCGTGGATTGGACCTCTCTTCGTGAATCGGCGTCATCCTTAGAAGGGGATGAGAAAGCATCTCCTAACACCTCACAAATGATGTGGACCTGGAGTGATTGGCAATAGCGTGCTGGGAGTGCAGTTATTGGTGTTGCTGAAGGAGAAGTTCTCGCTGAAGGAGTTCTCCCTAAGATTTGTTGCCTGCCACAGGAGTTGTTGCAGGCTCAAGTCATGATAAACATGTCTCCCACTGGTTCCAATTCAACCAACCTCCCTGTTTTGTGGGCAACTCCCCACTCCAGTTCCATCAAGCTTCCTCGGACTCAGTTCTTGCCAAGGGAACCAGAGAACTGGGGATCCGGGAATCGAAGTCTGACCAGAACTGCCCAGTCCAGGCTGACGGACCTGGATGAGACCAGACGGAAGTGATTGAGAAAAATCCGTCGATTCCCCACCAAGTTCTGCAGTTCTGCCCTCCGAAGGCATGGTACAGCTAAGTCCAATTTCCACTCTGAACAATGTGAACACACTTAGAAGTTCCAACCCAAAAGGAACGAGCCAAAAGACGATGCTCAAACCGGCGCTACCGGAAAACCTGTTTGTCTCCCTGTCTGGCGAGTGACCCATCGGCTCACCTGAAGCCGAAGCGAACATCTCAGGTGCATTTTTGTCACCACCTGCCTGCATCAAGCCACTTGGCTCGACATCCGTTTTCCGTGGTTCGGATGTCGGCTTGTTGTACTGGGGGGGTTGCATTCAGGGAAGATCTCCAAGGCAGGGTTGACTTTGAGGTCGGGGCCTTGGAAGGAGTGAGGAATACTTTGATGTTGGCTTCTTACAAATTACGAGTGATATCGAGTGATTGTAAATGAAACGGATGCTTGTCTCAGATATGCTTGTGTATGATGAGTATTCTTTCAAGTGGTCTTGGGTATGTTTCGTACACATACAGTTATAGGCTACCAGAAAACCTTGGAATGAGCTCAAGCGGGGTTCGTGCCATTCAAGTCAAGTTCCTGTTATTTGGGTTCTCAATCATAGGAGGAACGGAGCTTGCTGGTTTTTTGTGTACGAATTTACCTACCTTAAACGGACCTCATAAACGGACCATACATCACCGGGGGGGGAACGTAAGTTGCATGTTAACGAAAGCCGCTAGGCCTATACCAAGTTCTTGCACATCATAAGGGCAGTCTCTTTTCAATCAGCTTGCTTTCCCTACTGAGGAGAATAAGATGCGTGCTGTGTGTTGCATGTGTTGGGTTCCTCATATCCGTTTTGTCAATCACAAGTTGCCACCTCCATCCTGCAGAGCCGCTACCGCTGGAATTTGTGTCTTTGCAGGGTCCAGCTGCACTTTGCGTGGACTTTTGGTGTTGCCAGTCTTGTTGGAGAGCGCAGGATGTTCTGCATCAGTAATCAGTATACAGTATACACATATCGAGATATCTGGTGTATAGGTTGCTCGACCCGCATAGGCTGCATTAAGCCAATCGAAAGCTTCTCAGCCATTCTCCGCGTCTTGAGCCATGAGCTGAATGCGTTTTGCTGAACCAAAATGAACCACCCACACATATTCTCTCGTTCAGAGGAACCTTTTGGATTTGGGCCGAACGACACGTCTTGTTTCAACCGACCCGATCGGATTCCTCGGCCCAAGGAAGTTAGATCCACCTCGTTGTTCCAGGCGCGAAGACGCGCGGATGTGGCTGGTGGAAAAGGTGAAGTCCAGACGAACACAATGGGGTGTGGCTGGGCTTGGTTGGCTTTGGATGATATCTTGCATGGCTTTGACAGGTTTTGCGTGTTTGCTTTTTTTCTACAGGGTTGGGTGAATTTGTTTTGGGGTGTTGGGCCTCATTCGGAATTCCCCCTTGTTTGGACAGGGATCCTGGATCCTTTTCGGCCACCTTGGCCTGGTCCTTTCAGCCACTCCAGGCCAGAGATGCCAGGAATGAAAGCCGGGAGAGCCGAGCGAGTTCGGGGTGACAGGTGACGGAGGCGACAGCAGGGGACAGCAGGGGGTTTGCTGATGTGCAGTTGTCGTGTTGGGCTTTCTGTTTGGATGATTTGGGATGTGTTTATGGTTTTTGCTGGGGCCGTACGGTATTTGGATGTTTCATGCTGTTTCTTTGTTTTCTGTTTCAAGGGCATGTGTTTGGACGGGTCAGCCTGAGGAGGCCATGCTGGGATGAGCAATGTCCGGAGACTAGGAGATATGACTCCAGGGGGGTTGGGAGGGTTCTTAAGATCTGGCAGGCGAGCTGGATCCAGAAGGGGAAACATCTGGCAGACTTCGAAAAACGATGTTTCTGCCCAATGGGGGAGGTTGTTCCACGATGCGAAAGCCACAGAGTGATCGACACATGATGTAGGTGGCGGGGTGTTAGATGTCTTGTTCGGCTGGTTTTCTGGGGGGGGGTCATTTCCGCCCTGGCATGGCAATGGGTAAACGGGTGATTTGCTCGGTGGGTCAGTTCACCCAGGGGCTGCTGCTACGATCGGATCCAGCGGGTTTGCCAGCGGCTTTGCCCTGAGAACTCCCCGTGTTGAGGTCACAGGGTGCAACTGCCAGGTGGGTCAGGTGGGGCTGAAAACTGGGGCGGGAGATGCTGAGATGGGAGGTGAGATGGGTGGAATCGAAGCTGTACCCACTTGGACTGGGAGAAAACCTCCAAGATGCACAAGGGGCCACAGGCTCAGGTTGAGCGGAAGCTGAGTGAGAGTGGGAAAGACCCATCGTCCATCCACAAATCACAAGATAGAGGTATATCATGCACAAGTTTGATAGATGAACCCCTCACCATCACTCATGTTGCCATTTACAGAGATTGTATGGATAGTGATAGATAGGCAGATGGATATGGATATGGATATGGATATGGATATGGATATGGATTGATAAAACATACATGTTGCACATCGTCTAGATTCGTATAGTACAGTATATTGATGCGCTGGCCAGGAGAATTGCCCCTGCCATTTCGATTGCGAGGATGGGTACAGGGTCACACAGGGCAAGCTGGAGCCTCAGAATGACGTGGTCAGTGCGGCGGGTTAGGTACAATGGTTTGTGTGTGTGTCTCAGGTGGTCCATGGGCTACGACAAATAATTGGCTTTGGCTATTCTACTGTAGCATAGGCATCCGGACGACCAGCACAGCATCGGTTGCTGTGCGTCCGAGAGGGTCGGCATCCGGAGGCACCTTCACCCCACAGGTTCAGAGCCCTGGGTTTGACCACTGGAACAGGTTCCCTCTCATCGTCGGGGGTTTGCACCGGCCCACCGAATTGCAGCAAGAAGCAAAGAAGCTTTAAACTTTTCCTTTGTAGATCTGATCTCGGTACCAGTCATCCTCAAGACCCGGGGAGCCCTGTTTTTGGGAGTTTGATTCGGTCTGTAAAAAGGGAGCCCAAAAAGCGAACCCATCCCCATGTCCAGCACATACCATTCGAACCTATGGCCAGTTCATCCAAGTCTTCCCCACTCGGATGCGGAAGGTCATCCTGGCCATCCAGGTCGGAGAAGGCCAAGCAGTTGGCTCCGGCGAACGGCGACCACCTCGCTGTTTTCCGGTCCTTCCTCGCTGTCGTCGTCCCGTCGCGGCTTCGAGGCCCGGAGATCAGAAGTGCATCCAGGCGGCTTCTGACCGCCGAACGTGCCGATGTCGGGGCGCGTGGAAAGGGGGTCAACACAGTGGGTCAACCATGGATGGTCAATCTTTTTTGTTTAGAGTTTAGAGGGAAACTGAAGGGGGTTCTGGTGAAACTGCATGTTTTACTTCTAGTTTGGAGGCCATCGCTGGTAGGTTGGAGGCCATCGCTAGTGGCTGGTCTGGTGAGATCCTGGTTTGCTGCCAGAAAAAGTGACTAGTGACTGGCCTGACTGCCACTGAGTATAGTTGCTGTATATATATAAGGAAGTTTAATGAAAGTTAGTTCTTTAATGAGCCTTGGTTCTTTGAGTACAGGTGAGGTTTTGGATATATATATATATAGAAGGGATGGGGTTAGCAGGTGCAGGCCGCAGCTCAAAAGCATTCTTTCTTTCCCTCACCCCAAGAGTTTGGTCATCTGGTAATCTAGGCATCACGCTTAAATCCAGCCTTAGTCGCCCCTGCCAGAGTCCAATAAATTGAACCGTCTGGCGAAATAAACTTCCAAAATGGAGTGCCGCTAGTGCTCCTCAGGAACTTCTTGGCATTCCAGCCATTGTGCAATTCATCGCTTACCAATTTGGCTTGCGACTTCCCCGCACAGACTTTAGCCTTGGCTTTGGCCTTAGGCTCAACAATCTGGCCCTTGGCCTTCACACGAGGCTTCGGCTTCTGTGACTTCTTTGGAGTCACGGGCTTAGGATTCTCTTTTGGAACAACCTTTGCCCGAATCTTGGATACAGATTCACCCTTGCGGTTGTTCTTTGAACGAAATGGGAGTGAAGTGGCGGGCTTCTTGGCGGATGCGTCAGTCTCCTTGTCATCTTCATCGGATTCCCACTCCAAGGCCTTCAGCCTGAGAAGCCGTGGCGTCTTCTCCGGAGATCCCTGAGACTCATTCGCGGTTTTCTCCTTTTTCTTGACGGATTTGGCCGGCCTCTTCATGACACTCTGGCCTAAGTGGTCAACCCATTTCAACAAATGCCGCCTTTCAACCCAAAATATAGGTTTCAATACCCTCCCGCCTCTTAAGCATATCAAATGGTTCCATGATTTGGGACACATCAAATGATTCAATGGAAAAGTCTAACCCATCAAATGCATCACACATAATACTGTAAATTAAAAAACATAAACAATAACAACAAATGATTCAGCACATCAAATGATTCAATCACATCTTCTAGCACATCAAATGATTCAAAGGCATCAAATGATTCAGCACATCAAATGATGCAAGCACATCAAATGATTGAAACACTGCACTTCAAATGATTCCATCACATCAAATGATTCAATCACATCAAATGATTCTCATCAAATGATTCAGCACATCAAAGGATTCAAGCACATCAAATGATTCAATCACATCAAATGATTCAATCACATCAAATGATTCAAACGCATCTCATCAAATGATTGAGCAGCGCACATCAAATGATTCAATCACATCAAGTGATTCGATGAAACAAACATAACGCATCAAATGCATCACACATCAAACAAACAAGCACAGCAAATTATTCAAGCACATCAAGTGATTCAATCACAGCAAATGATTCAAGCACACTATATAAATGATTCAAACGCATCAAATGATTCAGCACATCAAATGATTCTGAACAAAGATATGAGGCACCCCTGCCACCTCCGCGTCCACGCCCACAGCCTTTTCCGCGTCCACGACTTGGCTCTGCACGACTTGGCTCTGGGGTCTCACGGATCTCACGGTTCTCCGGTGAACCAGCAAAGAGCTTCTGAAAAGGAGATGATCCCGGTGCAGGAAGGGTGGCTTGAGAGTCATTGTCCGGGCTTCCATCCGCCGATGCATAGGATCGCATGATCGCACCTCTCATGTCAAAGAGCGGTGAAGCCATGTTCGAAGGACAAGCTGGGAAAATGAGATGTTAGGGCCAAAACAATCTTGACATCTTCAGCCATGAAAGTTGAAGATGTCCATCTCAACAAAATGCCTTGGGAAGCAAAACAAAGCGTGGCCTCTCAAAACTGAAGTGAACACAGGAGCTGTTTGCAGGAAGGTTTCTTTTTCTTCAAGCCAGTTCATATTCAAATGGAGTCAAAGTATTCAAAATGAACCTGTACAGTCCCTGCAAGGACGAAACCGCTTGATTGTTTGTTTGTTCAGGTTCTTCACATGATAGCATGACTCACTCTTGTGCCAGCACTTGCCAGTGGCCGTCGTGATGATTTCTCTGGCATCAGCGGTTGCCTGCGAAGTTCGCCGCAGCCTGCCAGCAGAGCCTTCAACAGGGGGGAGGAGTACACGGTGCCCACATGTCCTCAGATCTGTGCGTGCCATTGCCGCAGTCCTCATCAGTTCCCACCATGACTTCTCGAGTTGCAGGCTTCTGAGTCTTGCATAGAAAGCAGCAGGCGAGGTTTATGGCAGCTACAGTCACACCAAGTGGAAGGGTTGAGAGAGTGAAGTAAAAAGCCACATCAAGAACCTCCTCTGCCACCACAGACATTGCACAAGAAGTCAGCACAGACATTAATTGCTTGGGCCCCATAGTGACATTCAAAAATGAGATCAAACCGCTGTTGGACTAAACACAATCCAAGAGACCAGACAAACAAGGACTACCTTTTGCTTCAGACTGAGCTCGGACGATTGCTACGTGACTGCACCCTTCTGTTGACCTTCCCGTGCACTCATGCCTACTAGCAACATGTCCTGTCCAGACTCTAGACTCTCGAACAAATGCAACAAACACAAAAAGCAACAAATGCTCTCGAACAAACACAAAAAATGTTTGGCACAGTGCATCCCTGGCAACAGACATGCCTTCACACACTGCTGGGGCTGAAAACAGGCTTGCACCGTGTCAAGCCAACGCATGAACACTTGTCCCGTGCTGCCACCACTGCGGAAACAAAGCTTTGGAAGATTTTGGAAGGAAGCTATTGAAAGAAAGCTGGACACAGACCTCTGCCTCTACCTACCAAACTCAGGCAGCATAGCCAAGTGGTTTGCCAGAACGCTCAGGGTGAATCTGCAACCTTTACAGGTTTTCCCTTGGAAAGTGAAATGGATACAGAGCTCACCACGTATGGCTTTTGCAGTTTCAGCGATAGACCTACAGGTTCAAATCTCAGGCGGAACATTTTGGCGATCAGGTGACTGCCAGCTTCATGTTCAACAGCTGCCACGCACTTGCCGAAGAAGTGCTTGCAATTCAATTTTGCGTCATCCTTGGGCGGCTGGATCTTGAATTTCATTTGCTCGGTTTGCTCGACAAGAAATGCGTCACTGCCTGCTTCTACATCGTCCTTCCGGGTCACCTTGAAGTAGCTTAGTTTGTGGGACGTTACCCCCTTGGTGCGCTCAAGCTGGATCAGGAGGGAGTAAAGGGTCATGGTGGCAACTGCTCCTGTAGGGGTGTTCTCGCGGATGCTTGTCTCGTCGACCTGAACAGTTGTCCGATCTCCGAGGTCAAGTTTCCAAGAGAGACCTTCTCCGCAATCCACACTCTTGCAGTAGCTGCCTGCTCCAAAGCCACCTAGCTGCGTGTGCTTGTTCAGCTGGCGATCCTTGTCCGTGGCCATGATCCAGACTTGCTTGCTCTTCGTGAGCAGCAGTTGGATTCCAGACACCTCGGATGCCGTCTGGAATTCGATCCCTTCAGCCTCTTTCAAAGCATCCAGGGAATCCTTTGTGGTGAGGGAAGTGGCTTCCGTGGATGGCTCCTGCAAGCAGAAGGAAGGAGCTAAAAAAATATAGGGTAGTGACAAACAGTCGCAAGACCATTCCCAAAATTCAATCATGGACTATGGACAAACCTGTCAGACTGAGTTTGAACCTCGGTCCTCCGCCTGCTCAACCTCACCTGCTTGGCATCCATCGCTGAAAGGTGCACCCACGCCTGGCATGGTGTCCAAGAGCCGCTCATGCTCAGCCTTCAAATTCTTGTAGGTCTCTGAAATCTCTCCCGTCTGAGCCGCCCAGTAGCGATGTTCGTCTGGTTTAATCACCATCCGTGAGTTCTCCCGCTGAAGAACTTCCCACTTCAGTGTGTCCATACCCTGAAAGAAGGCCTCCCCTCCTGGAATTGTTTTGATCTCCTCTGAAGTCAACTGTGGTGCCACATCTGCGTACTCTGAACCGTAGTCCAGCTTCTTCTGCAACCAAGCAGTCAAGACTTCTCGCTGAAGGCGACTGTGCCCAAAGGTGTCCTTGCCAATCCAAGACACGCTGAGGTAGCGAAGGTTCTCACAGCTGAAGGCCCCAAAGGTGGATTTGTTCAGCCGGTGCTGCAACACCTCATGGGTGACACCATGCTGGATAAACTAGAATGTTCATTCATTGCATATTCTTGTTGAGAGCTGTCAAACACCTTCAATTTTAACATCTAATTGACATCTAATATTCATTGCCGGATACTGCCCCTTCTCTGAGACAAATTCTCATAACAACCATGACGTGCTGAACACAGACATGCCACCTTGGTTTTACTTGATCTCATCACCCTTGCATCTAAAGCCAAGATTTGCAGCTGGGCCGAAATACTTACCGCACATGAGATTGGTGGCCAGTCGAAAACTTACTTCAGAGATTGGTCCAAGAAACTGCTAGACCCATCTCCTCTACGTATCCAGTCAAGTTGACGATGATGACAGGTGATTTGCCAAAGCCTGCACCTGGAATGGACAAAATGAAGCGAATGAGTGCCATGTAGCGCTCGGAGCCTTTCTGCGCATGAATTGCCTCCGGGCTGGGTCGTTGACGTTCTGCAGTCCTCAGGTCCTCATGGGCCTCAAGAGATTCTGGCAAGACAAGGTCTTTGCTCAGCGGGATGAAGATCTTTTGCTCTGTAAGTGGCCGTCCGGCCAGAACTAGCTCGGCCGAAGTGGTGAAAATGTTGGTCTCTTCAGCATCCTTGTTCACCACCACTCGCCCGGAACTCCATCGCCTGTCATTGCCGCATAACAACAAATGTCAAGAGCAGTTATCAACAAATGCAACCATGCTCACCCCACAACCCTTGAATCAATGTTTGATAACTTTCTGTCCCTGCCTTCTCGAGCTATGGCCCTCTGCAGCCGGTTGAACCTCCCACGGTAAAATCCACCTGAAGTCCCCCTGCTGCTTCAGCTGCCAAAGTTCTTCAAGAAGGTCCTTTTCTTCATCAAACAATCCTCTCTTGCTGCTTTTTTTCGGACAATCAGCGAGTTCGACCACCGCACAGTGCTTGTTGGGTGCGATATCGTTCATGGCGGCGATGGCTGCCATGAGCTCCTGGACCCGCTCCTTGCTGTTAGCCAAGGGGACGTTCAGATCCGTAAACCCAACAATGTGCACTTCTGTCACTGGAACTCCGCAGTCATTTGCCTGAAACACAAGTCGTCCACACCGAACAGAACAGGGTAGCAAATTCAAGAACCATTTTGAGCAGATCCCCCAAAAATGCTGGTTTGATCTAAGCCGTTGCATGTTTAATGTGCTTCCTGGGTGCAACATAGCTTCGGAATTCATGCAGAGCTTCATGGAAGTGCTCCATTTGCTTCACCAAGCGGCACCGCAAGTATTTCTCGCAGAAGGACAGCACAACCTTCTCCCCAACCTTGGCCTGTTCCACACGGAAGTTCATCTCCTTTCTGTGGCGGAGCTTCTCGATCTTGTCTGGTGCTGCAGAAACAAGGGAGAGCTGCTTCTGATCTCGGGCCAGCGCGCTTTGAAAATACTTCCAGCGTGCAGCTCGGAGTTCAGCGCGTTGCTGCTCAGCCTCCATCGTTGAGGTCTCCTCCTGCCGCTTCAAATCGCAGGCTGCCTGCACTTGAAACATAGGCATCATCGAAGTTGCAAACTGCCGAGGGCAAGCAGTCATAACCTCCCCAAACTGGTCATCCATCGCGCTGCCATTCAAGAGCTTCTTCTCAAAGGTTTCAAAGTCTGCAATGCGTGTCATGCAGAATGACCTTACCTGAGACCAAAAGGAACACAGGTTTCGCAATGACACCAACTCCTCGGACTTCATCCGGTATTTTTTCTTGTCTCGCACATCAAAGATGATCGCGGTGGCCCGATCAAATGCCACCTTGATTCTCCGGAAAAGCATGGTCTGGGCCCATTCTGTGAGTGGAAGGGCCCAGTTCACAGACACAGACTCCTCGTGGGCCAAAGGAGCCAAAGCTGAATCACCAGTACATGACTGCTCAGCTGTTGACTGCAAGAAGAGTTGTGGCATGAGAGAGAGCTGCTCTCCCCAAGGGCCGTATGGGAAAGGGCTGTCCTGCAAGGATTCATAGACTACTGTTCGGGCTTCATTGCAACACTTCTCCATCCAATGTTTGATAGCGTAGGTCTTCTTTGCGTCGATCATGACCGTGCCACTGGCACTCTTCTCGCCAGTGTCCTAGGCCACTGCAAACAATTCCAACATGTGAAGGAAAGAGAGCTCAACCTTGTCATTTAAACGTTGAGAGAAGGTGATCAATAGCTTGATGAACATCCACAACAATCAAAACTTTAGAAACTATCTCTGTTTAGGTTCAATCCCACCACCATGCCCCACGACTTCCGGCATACTATTGTAGCGCCGGATTGCTTCGGCTGCACAACTGGCTTCACTGACCCGCAAGAGCACCTCGCTCCACTCAAAGGAAGAGACTGGCAATTTCTTTGCATCAATGTTCTGAGAGGCTATCCGGCGAATGGACGATGTCAAGGGATCATCATCCTGCATTTTGCAGAGGGTCGGTATGTGAAGTAAATCCCGAACAAGACTCACCAGGCGCGGATGCCTCAAGCTCTCTTCTGATTCCGCTCCCAATGCATAGACACATCCAACCCATGCGAGAGCAGCGCCAATGGCTTTCATACCGCCGTCATCAAACAAGTACAAGGCAAATTCCGAACTGACATGGTCCAGGTCCATATCCGGTAGTCGGACAGCCAGGAACTCACCCTGTCCAAAAAAACACACAAAAGCAACCACTAGCCTTGCCCATCTAGTTTCCCGCATGGATTCAACATCGGCAAAACAAAGTAAAATATAGTCTATATACTATATATAATCTATAGTATAATTGACAAAGGTGGGGCTGAAGGCAAGCGCCCGAGTTCAAATCAGAGTCAGGAGGAAAAGATAAGGTTTGGTGGGTGAGGTTAAGAATATATTATAAGAGGTTCGCTGACAGGTTACGGCGAGCGATTCCAAACCTAAAGAGTATGGCGAGCGATTCCCTGACAGGTTACGGCGAGCGATTCCAAAACTAAAGTCTATGGCGAGCAATTCCTTGACAGGTTACGGCGAGCGATTCACAAACTAAGGGCTATGGCGAGCGATTCCTTGACGGGTTATGGCGAGCTGTTCCTGGAAGAGCTCTCCACAAACTTGGTCTAATTGCATAGTTTTGGCGAGCGATCCCCCCCCCGGAAAGGAAATACCTACACAAGATGATATGCTCTGGAGGAGGCTGTTTATGGAGAGCTGTTCCTAGAACAGCTCTCCATAGCTTCTTCTTACTATATAAGGGACCCCCACCCCATTTCAGATAGACTATAAATGATAAAAAATCTAGATATTACCTGGCCTTATTGCTAAGTATACACTATGGAGAGCTGTTCCTAGAACAGCTCTCCGTAATCAGGTCCTGAGTGGAGGTTTGTTTTTGGAGATCTATTCCCTTGCCGCTGTAGCTTTCCCCACTTCCCGAGCCTGCCGCCAAGAAGAAAGTGAGATTGATTTGCTAATGTCGTAGCAGGTTGCCATGGATGGGGTGCGCCAAAATGCATCATCATCAAGGCTCCATTGGAGGATGGAGGTTGTCAGCACATCCCCTACCTTTGGTGGAAAGTCCTTTGCACAGGTGTGAGACATGGATTCCCATTGAATTAAAGTGGATCAAACAGCAACTACAAACTATAGAGGAAGGAGTCCAGCAGCAATCCAAACACCAAACAATGCTCTTCAAACAAAGGCGCGCTAATTGTTATATACAAAAAACTTGCCATGAGATGCAAACGTTTTTTGGAACACATCCGTCCTTCGTCTTCATGAACGCTTGCTCGAAGTCATTGACTGTCGCGGAGACTGGTAGCAAACCAACCTTCTTAACAAAAGCTAGACTATCTGCCAGCAACACCTTGCTGTCCCCCCAACAGCGCTTGCAGATCTCCAGCAAGCTTCCACCGTCAGACAGTGGCCAAGGAAGCTGTTCATCCGTGCCGTGCCTGACCTCATAGGCTTTGGACATCCAATCCCTCAGCTTCAGCTGGAGCGGGGACACATCGTCTAGGGTCATGGCAACCTTGGACTCTGTTGGCTTCGCACTGTTCACCCGAATCTTCTTTTTTCGGTGGCATTGCAAGTCTTAGGAGTCTGAGACACTCTGCGCGGAAGGTCTGAGACAAACAAAAAGCTTGAGCAATTGAGCAAACACATCAATTTGGACATAATTAGTCTGAAAATATCTGAAATACTGCCGGATGATTCCAGCGCAAGGCTAAATGCAAGCCTCTCTCCGCAACCTCTTTCCCTGGCAACCTGGAAGTCCCTTCAACTCGGGAATTAGAAGTGGCCACATGACCACTAAAGCTGCATCTCAAGGCGTTGAACACATACACCTGGCAGCACAAATTAAGGACCGCGATGGACCGCGCTTACTCGGTGGCCCGCTCCCAAACTGCAGGCTTGCAATTTTGCAAGGCGCTCATGAAACATGCCAGAACCACAGGCACTGAGAACCTGAGAAAAGATCCACCCATCATTAAAGATCACTGAACCTAAGGCATTTGCAAGTTGAAGTCCTGAATAAATTCTAAACATCAAAACTATCACATCTTCTTTGTCCAAGGAAAAACCAACCATCAGTTTTCACTGATCTGTCTGAGGCGCGCATTGCCAAGAAAGCTTTGCGCCAGCGTGCTGGAAAGCTTGTCCATCCCGAAGTGGTGCCAGTCTTCCAATCCCAGGCCATGCAGCACGCCCATCTCTTGGGGAGTAATAAGTCGCCATGGACCCTGGCCAGTGACCACGTACCGCCCCTTCGGTATGATGCAGCACGTGCGTTGGCCAGCATGCTTCTTCGGGTAGGTCTGCCTGTCGAAGTTTTGATCCTTAGATGGTTCTATCAAACGGCAATGAGACTTGATGTATGAGAGTTGCCGCCAGGCCAATGCCCTGAAACAAAGAACAAAAATATAAGAGAAAAGCAAATTCCTAGCTTCCACCTGTATCACGGTCAACGTGTTCATAGGGTCAACGCCCTTCTTCGTGGACATGTCGATAACAGCCAAGGTGAGAATTGCCTCTTCGCGGTCTGTCAATCCCACCAGCAGCCGTTGGTGAACCAGCAATTGTGTCTTCTTCACAGTGGCCTCAAGGAATGTGGAACAGATTCCCATGACTGACAACTAGTTAAAATATGTTTAATAGAGGATTGCTGAACCAATTCCAATGACTGACTAATAAAGGAATGTTTAATAAAAATGTTTAATAAAGGATTGCTGAACAATTCCCATGACTGACTAATTCCAATTCCGCACTAGCGAAGAATGAATGCCCTGATTGTTTCAGCCCAGCCTTCCCGTACTCTTCGCGAAGACGTTCAAATTGCAACATCCACTTCGCATCATCTGACTGTTTGCGTTTCTTGCCTTTGTGGACTTCCGGGGCCAACACAGGCTTCGGCAGGCAGAGAGAAAGAGGCCAAGTCTGGCATCTCAAGGAAGCAGCATCACTGATCGCCCTCATGGCGTCGCATCCCAAGCCCGCAATGATCCATGCACGGTGCCTGGACTGCGCTGGACCGAAGTCCGCCGTGTCAAAGAGTGCGGCACACACATTGTAGCCATAGGACTCCAGGCTATCCCGAATGAAGTCATACCTGGAGACAGGTCTGCAAAGTGACTGCATTTAACACCCTTGATTGCAGGAACTCCCAAAAGTCCTACTCATTGATTGGACACCTCCCCTAAGCGACAATGCATTAAGAGTTCAATCCCAGGGACGGCTTCTTGCCCCCATCTAGTTTCCGGGATTGAAACAATGTTTGTACATTCTCGAGGAGCACCAGCTTTGGCCTATGGCGTTTGACGTACTGGTCAATGGACTTCCACCCAAGCCCTGAGCTTGATGAAGCATCATTCAGCGCTGCCGGAGTTGTAGTCAGTGGGCTCAGGCTGATACAGGGGAAGCCTGCTGCCAAAACATCAACCTGCCCAGCTGGGATGGTCTCTTCTTTGCCCATGTGCATTTCAGTTGGCACATGTAATGAAACGAACCTACTAAATTCCAAAAAGTACAACTCAAATGACTATCTACTATTCAAATTCTAAACCTACCCTTGGCCATATTTTTTTGTCTAGCGAGCCTCGGGCACTTCTGGGTACTCTCCATCATGTGTCTCTGCACGATTTCTGCCCATCTCAGCCATGTCCTTGAAGATGTACTGGGGCTTGAACTGCTTCAGGAACTTCCGCTTCTCCTGGTCAATCTCGACCATGAAGATGCAGTCCACCTGCCCAGTACAACAACCCTAGGGCCTGGCCTTGTGCTGGACCAAAGGATCAAATTGAAGATAAACACAAACCCCTGACTAACCACCATCCACAAGTTTGAACCCATGTGTCCAGCCTTGAACTCAACCACGTGCTGCTCGCGCCAGACATCTTGCAAGACTGAAATGACCATCTCCGCAGTTCCCATCCCAGAGCAAATGGACCCAAACCGCAAAGCACCACAATCAGAATTTGCAATGGCCCGAATGTTCAACTCAAGCTGGTCCGAAGCTGAGGTTAGAGAAGCCAGGTAGTCTTGGACGAAGCCGCGTATCTCAGATTTTCCCGATGGACCGCAAACAGATCCCAGACATGCTAAATACAAAACACAATATGTTACAGACTGAGCAGGGCTCATGGAATACAGTGACGCCTGCAAAGGACCAATTAAGAACTGATTGAATTCCCCAGCCAAGTTGCGCAGGGACTTGACTGGTCAAGCTTCCGATATGTCGGATTGCGGTCATCCTGTAACAAGCCGCCTTCAAACTTCATGTCCTTCGCAGGGCGGCCATTTCCAACAGGAGAAGCTTCGTCATCTGTGCAAGGCATAAAGCCGTCACTTTGATCATCACGATGGTCACGCTGCCTTAGGGTACATGTGTTAGCACGAGCCATCATCTCATGGACCTCGTTAACCAGTCATCAAAAGCTTGGATTTGTCCCCACTCCCCCACCCTGCAACTACTTACTACCAAGATGCGTTTCCACATCAGCATCAGAAGCGGAGAAGATGGGGTTGTCATCAGGCTCGCTCCTGACACGAGACGAACTGGCACAAATGGACTGTTTGTCCACCCACCGGCAAAACCAGTGTATCTAGTAGAAATATCATGAAATATCTACTACGAAACCAAAAACATATCTCATCTCCATTCCAGAATTCAAGCACACCTCTCCCAACGTTAAGATGATGGTAAAGGAACCCGAAAAGAAACAATTCCAATTCCGCATTTGATTTGAATGACTGCGCCTGAACCCAACAAGTTGGTTCAAGCTTTCTGCATCTGGTGGTTTATCAGGTCGGCCTTCTGTGGAGCCAAAGGAGCTAGGCCATATTGGTGGGATTCTTAGATGCACTTTGTGGAGGTGTTTCCAAAGTCCCAGCAAGCCTCAACCCAGTAACCTCGCGCGTGTTTTCCATCAGTCATGGACGTCATCCATCAGCAACTGGGGGAGAGCGACAGCTCCTTCATCTGATTCGCTACCGGAGTTCTCTGCATCAATGTCTAAAGGCTTCAAATCGATGTGCCTCTTTCGAGCTGGCTTGACCCAGGAGCCTGGCTGGAGGATCTCAGACCGCTCTTCTGGCCGCCATCTGAATCTCAAAATTGGATAGGACGCAGGCCTTGGGACAGCACGTAAGGTGCCTCTGGACCAGTCGCGAAGGTACCGTGCGCCGTGCACCTTCTTCTGACACATCCCCCCTTTGGCGGCATCTTGGCAAATAGCGTTCAATGTTGCTCAAGACTTGGCGCCCGATTGGCCTTCTGTCCGCAACACCTTGAGGCTCTTGAAGACCCACACGCATGGCACGGGCAGTTTCTGCCGGAACCAAGGCAATCAGTTTGTGCACGTCCCTGCTTGCCATATAGCGTTTTGCTATGAGGAAGATGTCCCGGCCAGACTTTATGGAACAATGAGATATTGGGAAATCCTCCACATCCGATGTGTTGTTCCAAATGTCACTCTCAATGTCCTCCCTCGCGCAGAACCTGAAGTAATGAATATGTCCTGAGGTCGCGGCGGGATCCCTATCCAGAATGAACACTACTAAAGGTGGTGGTAAGTTTAGGGGAAACCTGCTTAAAATGTTTAAAGTGTTTTGGTCGAGGTTCTCAAGCCCCGGAAGGAAATGCCGATCTGCTCTGTGAACTGCTTCCACAATGCAGTTTGGTCAAGCTTGTATGGAGAGACATCTGTTGCGTGGATTTTCCTGACCTCCCCTGGTTGGGATGCTGATCGGAGCAGCTCGATGAGTCCCTGCGGAGACTGGTAGGATTTCCCTTTCAACAGCCTTGCGATGCAGCTGAAGACTTGATCGATGTCTTCATGGGAATGCCCCGTGCGGAGATAACCGCACGAGGCCCACCTGAAGGAGCCTGAGACAACCATGATCAGCATGAACAGGAGTACAAATTTGTTCTTCCCTTCACGAAAGCAATTGTCCTGCTGGAGGTGCAATCCGAGAGGGAGGCCCCCCCTCTCCACACAGAGCTGGCTGATAGCCCTTGCCAGGGTTTCGAGCTGAGTTTGGGAGTCCTTTTTTAAGGACTCGTCTCCGATGGGAATGAACAACTTCCAGCCATGGATCCAAACTCCATTCAGGTGCAAAGTAGGTCTGAACAATTGTTCCAGCACCTTGGAGAAGCGGCCAAGGATCCTAGGGACCCTTAGCTTACTCTGATCCATCCCGTCGGCGATCAGGGTGATCGCCGAGCTGTAAATGTTGTCACCTGCAAGCTGCCGAGACATTTGATCCGTGCCGGCTTGGAAAAATCGTTGGCTCAGAGCACGAAGCTTCCAATATATTTGTCTGTCCATCCACTGGTGCAACACATGCATTGAATAGTCTTTTGTAGACGCTATGCGATCTGCCTTGGTGTTGGACTCCTTGATGCACCCGCGGTGGAGGGCGCATGTATTGCACTGCGCGTGTTCTCTCTTGTCCCTGTATTTCAAGAATGTTCCGAAAATCTTATGGTAGATTCTCATGAACGTGGGTAGCGTCGCGGGCTGCCGT